GAGTGTTCAAAACAGATTCCTGGAGGAAGAAAAGAGCATAGTGCTGCACTTTCAGTCTATCTTAAAGGAGATCGGCCTTTCATAAACACACTGAACAAAGCAATAGAGACAATGGGTGGAAATGTTAGCATCTATGAAAACCACTTCCACTTCAAGTCTCTTCATTTCCTGCTGATGGACTCCATGAGGCTGCTGAAGCCAAAGGAGTGCAAGAACTTTTATGTTCTGCTAAGTGGTCAAAACCAACCACAGAAAGGCTCCACAGTGAGATTTCCAAGTTTCACCTTAGCTCATTCAAACTATGAAGAGCCAAACAATTATTATGATCTGTTTGAGGACATCATTTTAAATATCAAATCTTGTTTCTTTGTCAGTCTGGAAGAACACACTTGCACTAAAGCAGGGGATACATTTCTCTTATCTCCAGCAGAGGTTTTCACTGTGGATGGCGTAAATAGCAAAACTGTGGAGGATGGTGAAGAATATGTTGAGATTGTTTTGAAACATTCAGGACTGAAAAGCTCACACAACTGTTTTATCTTTCCGAGGTAAGACACATATTATCTCAATTAAAGTGAAATATTTCCCAAACATTAAACTTTGAAGCGCTTAAATAATTTTCATTGTGGTGTTAAACACACAAAGGAGATACAAACATTTAACTTGTCCAAAGTACATATAAGAAAAATACTTCACAAGACACACAAGAAAATTGTAAAATATACCTATTTGTCTCAATAGGTATTTAATTTTTTTTTTTTTTTTAATGTAGCTGAACACTTCTAACAAGCGGGGAAAATAATTGGTGTTGTATAAAACAGCCTGTTGCTCCGTTACAGGATGTAACAAATGCTGTAAATACAAAGAAATGACTGGATTATACTCGAGGTTTTGATAAACTTAAAGATTTCCCAGCTGGAAAGCATGAGGTGACATAAAAAGTGAAAAAACCCAAACAGGATTATGAAACCCTGGTAGGGTTTTGGATGTGGTTTGAATAGTTTGGCCTGATAATGCTGACAGCATTAGTAAAAGAATGCACACATCAGCACATCGCTTAAAGTATTATATTCTGCTTATAATTCAGGGTCTCAGGAGAACTGGAACCTTTCATAACTGTCACAGAGAGAGATAGGTAAATTATTATTATTACAGTTTTATTTCCATATCTACAGGCCGGACAAGTGGCAGAAAATGGATGGATGGCTGTTACAATAATCTTTTTCTCTACTTTGTTTCCATGTCTTCAGGTCTCCTCCAGCTGTTGTCTCCACCCTGTGGCTTGCGTCAGTGCTTGCGGCCTTATCTTTGTTTTCTTTAACTGTTTAGCAAAAACAGTTATCATTCAGAATTTTATCATCTACAATGCTGCTTGGTTTATTCTTCCAGTTGTTTGGTACTTTGTCTGGCAGATTGTGCTATCTGCCAAATAAGGTGTTGCATTAGGCTACCAAAATATAATCAAATATTGTTTTCTTTTTCTGTCATAATAAAATTATTGGCTGAATTCATGGATAATATGCGTTATAATTTCAATGATTCTTGTTAAGCATTGTGTGCCTTTAAAAGGATGATAAGAAACGAGAGATGGGAATAACTTGCAGCTTTTCCCAGCTGGATTCAGACTGGGTATTCTGGAGTTTATGGTGGCACCTTTAACTCCCACAGCCGGAGTGTTTCCAGGATTTTGTCAATGGGCTGGCACGAGAAGACCAAGAACAAGGCAGAGTGGCACATAGAAAATCAGAACGTTTATTAAAAATTTATAAAGGGATGCAGAAAATTGGCATAAAATACACTGGGTTCAATTTTCAGGCTCCTGAGCACAGCCAATACCGCCTATCAATGAACTGTGACTGTGATAAAAAAACTGAAATTTTCTATCCATAAAACTAAATTCAACATCAATTTCTTTATTGAACTTTCTCTCAACATTAGTGAACTTCTTCACTTTTTACATTTTCCTCAGTGACGATTTTTCAGGGAGCGGATTTTTACGATAAACATGCCGTCAGTGTGTTTCCTGAGTTAGTGATTATCTTCCTGCTTCTAAAGAAACCACACCTTGATGTATCTTTCCATTTCTCTGACAAATAAAGAGCATATAAAATGTAAAATGCTTTGCAATGAATTTAATCTTATCACACAGACATTTCAGACATCAGTAAGTTTTTTTTCTTATGTTACATTTGAAAACATATTACATCGCTGGTTCAGCAGCAGGGCGATAATTACTGTCTAAATGTAAGACTCATCATTAAGCTACACATCAATGAAATAAAAGCTGATTGCGCACACACAAACATTCGCTGTAAAGGCTAAATGTTATTTATATTCATCTGTGAGGCTCCAGTTCATTTTTTATAAAGTCTGCATTGAAGAGGTACTGAGGTATTTGCCCCCATGAGCTATACTGAAGCCATGCTAGATCAGAGATATAAAGGTAATTTATGGTCGAGCTTAAAGGGGCTAAACCTGAACCAGCTTACAGGAACACAGTAATGTTCCTCACTAAAGCAGAAAAAGTTACTTTCTTACACAGGAAAGACTAAAGGGCTGCGCTGTATGATAACTTGTTCCAGTTCCTCAAACCCTCGCTTTCGCTTTCCTGCAGTTTGATGGGCCCCTTGCTGTTCTCCCTGCTTCAGGTAAGTTTTTAGTCTTTTCAGTCGTTTAGATTTTGTCACTTCCAAGTTTCTGGACGATGTAAAGTGTTACCGAACTTTCTCTATCCATATTTGATGTTTCAGGGCTTTCTTGCACTCTGTAGAAAACAAAGAGGCCAAAAAATGGAGAACAGAAGAAAAGTGCTTGCTGCAATAATTTTGACAGCTGCCTGCAGCAAAGTAAGAATCATGATTCAAACAAATATTAGAAAGTAAGAAAAATTATAAATTTAAAAATGGGTTTTTAAATGTGATATATCAATTAAAGGTGGCCGCAAAGGATACAAGATTACTGGATGTCCAAGAGACCACAGATGTTGTGGATGACCAGTACAAAGGATGTCGTGATGAGGCCATGAAGAAGTTCATCGAGTCAGACGTGTTAAAACAAGAACTAAGCAGCAATGACGGATTTCAGAAAGCGTGGAATAAAAGTATCGAGTGTTCAAAACAGATTCCTGGAGGAAGAAAAGAGCATACTGCTGCACTTTCAGTCTATCTTAAAGGAGACTGGCCTTTCATACTAACACTGAACAAAGCAATAGAGACAATGGGTGGAAATGTTAGCATCTATGAAAACCGCTTCCACTTCAAGTCTCTTCATTTCCTGCTGATGGACTCCATGAGGCTGCTGAAGCCAAAGGAGTGCAAGAACTTTTATGTTTTTCAAGATGGTCAAAACAAACCACAGAAAGGCTCCACAGTGAGACTTCCAAGTTTCACTTTAGCTTATTCAGACTATGAAGAGCTAAAGAGACTTGAAGATGTCAGTGAGAATATTATTTTACATCTCACTTCTTGTTTCTTTGTCAACCTGAAAGACTATGTGTGCGGTCAAGAACAGGATGAAATACTCTTATCTCCAGCAGAAGTTTTCACTGTGCAACGAGTAGAGACAAAAACTACATCGGATGATGATGAATACCTTGAGATTGTTTTGAAACAGTCGGGACTGAACAGCTCACACAACTGTTACATGTTTTCACGGTAAGATTCATATTCTCTCAATTAAAGTGAGTTTTTTTGTATATTCATTCTTCAAATATTAAGCTTGGAACTGTTAGTTCAACTAGTATTTAAATATTTAAAGGAGATACAAACATGTCACATGTGCCAACTCGATATAATAAAAATATAATAAAAATACTTCACACAAAAAAAGTTAATTATTATTATTAGTAGTAGTAATAATCTGTCTCTCTGCTTTGCTTCCATGTCTTCAGGTCTCCTCAAGCTGTTGTCTCCATCTTGTGGCTTGTATTAGTGTTTGCAGCCTTATCCTTATCTGTTTAGTAAAAACAGTTATTGTTTTCTACAATACTGCTTTGCTTATTTGTGTAATTGTTTTGCATAGTTTATATGGCAGAATGTGGTATCTGTGAAATATAATCAAATATTGTTTCCTGGTTCTGTTGTATTATGAAGTCATGTGATTGTATGTCAACAATGGTGATTGGATGTCTAAAGATAAAAGTGAAAGAGGGGAGATGCAAATGGGTAAATGAGTATGAAAAGCAAGCTTTTCTCCTGTTAAATTGCTCTAATAAAATATCCAGGATTCAAAAAGTCTAAATTGTGGACATTCTTTTTTTTTTTTTTAAAGTAAAGATAAGTAAAGTAGGATACCGGACCTGCAAGGCTACCTATTGCCAGATACTTTATCAGAGTAGGCAGGATAGATAGGCAGAACTGGGTGAATACTTTCACCCTTTGGCTCCATCCTAGCTCTGCACTGCCTTCTGGGTAGTATCGATGGGATCAGAGACTAGACTTTTTAAACAGAGAGCCAGTCCAGATTTTAAGTACTGGGTTCCACAGATCAACACAATGATGTGACAGACAGATAACATCATACAGAAAATAATTACTTCAAGTTATTACTGCTAAAGGTGGTTTATTTGTTTTTGCATGTAATTGTGCCCAAATATCAGTAAAATAAATACCATTGGTAAAGTTCCACATATACTGAGTATTAAAGAATCTGCTCTCACTGGTTAGTTGAAATAATTTTTAGTTCAAACCTCTCACAGGATCACATCGTTTTTTTGTTTACACAAATAAGCTCACTAGTTTCAAGTTACTAAACAAAACAACTAGGATATAAACTTTGTACAATTTGTTGCAAATATTCAGACTTTTTGGTGTTTTAAGAAAACATTTAAAACTCTCAGAAAGCATTCATGTAAAAATATAATGTGTTAGATATAACCCGATAAAAAATGATGCCTTTTATTGGGTCTCTGTGCAGCTTGATGTGAAGGGTCACGTTTAATCTTTAGGAGAAGGCATTATGCGTCATTCCTGTTAGAAGTTCATAAAGACACCACCACTACATGTTAGAGTGCAAACTTAATCTTCAACCAGGTAACTTAAAGCAGTTTGGTAAAGCAGGAAAAATATCTCCCATGAGGCTCTTGCTTGTTATCAGGCTGCTTGTCCCAGGCTGCACGCATGTGTTTTGATGTAGCCTGTTTTAAATGATAGCCCTCCTTGAGACAAGCACCTTGGACTTTTCGACTGATTTTACCTCTTTTGCCACCAGGGATCTGGAGTCCCATGAAAAATATATCACTTTCGACCCCGCCACTTTAATACTGCAAACATGGATCAATTTTCTGTTTAGAAAGAAGATGAGAAGATGTTTAGAAGATTGATGAGATATGTGTTATCCATTTGTAGTGTTATTAGATTTTCTTTTTACACTGACTGGTACATATGTGTATACTTTTTGGTAAGTAAATTTAAATTCTCATCTATTAAATGGTGTAAAAGAAAAGAAAAACTTGTATTTTTATATAAAGTATTGGCAAATATAACTTAAATAATCATTTGGATATTAATTTTCTAACAAAGTCTAGCAAAATAAAATATGTTTCTGATTTGAGACCTAGTGAAGCTCAAATAGCTTTTAAACTGATTTAGCTTACTGAAAGATCTCACCACCTGCAACAGTCACAGTGTGCAAAATATATGCAGTTGCACTTACACTGCTCTTTTTATGTGGCTTATAATGACAATGTATTATTATTACAAAAGACAACTCCCCTACTTTAGGTATCAGTGGGGCTGGCTCATGTCAGGACTATGGGATTAGGAACAGCTAAGACTGAGCCAGTGGTTTGGTCTGGCAGCAGGTCAGATGATGGAGGAAAAAGTGATTTACTATTCATATGTACAAAGGGTCTGCCAGCACCAGTTACATGTTGGGTTAAATAACACACAAACACACTATTTTCTGTTCAGCATGTTGAAGCATGCTAACTAAGACTAGAAAAGGTTTTGTGTGTGTGTTAAAGTTTTTTAGGAGTAAAATTGAGGTTTTACCAACTGCATACATATCTGTGACTATTCCTGAACCTAAACAGTTTGTGTCAAGGCAGTGTTGGTTGGGAGCACCTTGAGATGACTGTTCTTGTGACTTGGTGCCATACAAATCACATTTAATTGAACTAAGCATAAATTGAATAGTGTCTGGTCTCCTATATGTGATGCAATATCTACCATAACCACGACAATTAAAAGATTACATTTATAAATAAGTGTAGTTTCAAATGTATTATGTAATATTTATAATTGTTATAGTTTGTAGGCACTTCGCTTGGTTATGGTTTCTACACTCAACAAAAATATAAACGCAACACCTTTGTTACTGCTCCCATTCCCCATGGGACGGACGTAGACCTAAAATTCATTCCAGATACACAATATAACCATCCCTCCCAAACAGTGGTCGGTCACAAATCAGTCCAAATGTGTGGTAGTGGGCACATCTGCTATATTGAGATAATCCATCCCACCTCACAGGTGTGCCACATCAGGATGCTGATCTGACATCATGAGTAGTGCACAGGTGTACCTCAGACTGCCCACAACAAAAGGCCACCCTGGAATGTGCAGTTTTTTGCGCTATTGGGGGTTTGGGGACCCAGAACCGGTCAGTATCTGGTGTGACCATCATTTGCCTCATGCAGTGCAACACATCGTCGCATGGAGTCTATCAGATTGTCAATTGTGGAATGTTGGTCCACTCCACTTCAATGGCTGTGCGAGGTTGTTGGATATTCGTGGGAACTGGTACACGCTGTCGTATACGCCGGTCAAGCACATCCCGAACATGCTCAATGGGTGACATGTCCGGTGAGTATGCTGGCCATGCAAGAACTGGGACATTCTCAGCTGCCATCTGCCCTGAACAATGTGAACCATGATTCATCCGTGAAGCGCACACCTCTCCAATGAGGCCGGTTGGATGTGCTGCCATATTCTCTGAAACGCCTGTGGAGACGGATTATCTCAATATAGCAGATGTGCCCACTACCACACATTTGGACTGATTTGTGACCACTGTTTGGGAGGGATGGTTATATTGTGTATCTGGAATGAATTTTAGGTCTCTACGTCCATCCCATGGGGAACTCTTTTACCTGGGATTATCATCAGATTTCGCGACACCTCTCCTCCGAAGCAGAAGGTGGCCATAATGCACAAACTCATTCCATCAAACGAAGAAGAAAAAACAGGCGAAGAAGAAGGCGGTGGTCAGCTACAAATTGATAGAGCAGAGAAGATAAGATAAGGCTATAACTGGAAGGTTTTGGCCAATAATGAGGTAAAAAAAAAAAAAAAAGAGCTCGAGTGAAATCTGTAACGTTCAGGTGTCTGTTAAATAACTCGATAATGTCGCACTCTGCTGCAAGAAGCTATGTTTAGCGTTAGCTGGCAAGTAGGATGCTAACTTCCTGACAATAACACTTTGTTATTGTTAGCAATGTGAAGCAGAGTTAACGTTAATAACATTAATTATGGGTACAAAGCAGTTATCATCACTAATTACTGGCTAATTAAGCTACAAACGACGCTAACCACCTCGTATTGCGTACTTGTTGCTTATGTATTTTTTATGTTGGATTCCTCGGCAGGCTGTGAACGCTTCTGTGGACCTAATCGAAACTGCAGCAAACATGCAGCTTAACTGAAGAAAGCACAATGCTCGGATACTGTGACACTTCCAGTGCCTACTGACCACATGCCGTGGAGCCAAAGCAACAAGCCGACAACTAATTGTTAGCCTTCCATCTCAGGAAGCCAAACCTCATTTGACACTGCAGACTGTGTTTGTTCTCCTAAGGAGCTGTCTTCTTCTCTACCATGGTGGATAACCGGTACGCCACAGCTCTGGTTATCGGCTCCGTGCTGAGCCTGCTGGCCACGGTGTACCTCTCCGTGGCTGTGGGGACTCAGCACTGGTATGAGTACAATACCCCAGAAGTTAATAATACAACGCACAGCGAACCCGTATACCCCAACGGCACTCGGGCACTATGGTGGAGGTGTATCCTGGTAGCCAGCCCCTCATACTGGTTCAAATCTCCAGGTATTACTCACAGTGGCACACCTGTTCAGCGTCCTCACTGACCAATACTTTGATGATAGTGCTGCCTTCTAAATTTAAGAAGAAAATCTGGAACAAGATTTGTCTGTTAAACTCCATTTTTAACTTTAAGGAATTTTATTTAGATTAATTCTGCACATTGATTTACGTCACTGACTGTTCTGCACTCAGCATTGGTTTAACCAGTGCATTTGATTGTTATAATGCCCAGTCCCATGTTAAATGCTTTACGTTGTTAATTAATGAGAAGACTTAGTTGGATTTGTGTTCTCTGACTTTTTTGGCTTTAGATCGGAAGATGGAAACCCGCTGTTCAAGCTTTAGTCTTTCTGATCAGTTAGGTACAAAGTATAAACCTGGAAATGAGGAAGAAGAAGACCTGCTAAGAACATGTGAGTGTATCCTTACTCTCCCTCAATCTATCCAGGGAGACCTGTAGTTCATAAAATATGTTTTGTTTTGTTTTTGTTTTTTCATTTTACTAAACCATTCTTACATTTTTTTTTAACCCATCTTGGTCACATCTGCTCCCTTCACTGTCTTTACTCGCACATCATTTGTTAAACATTAGAAATTATTGACAGAGTTTAACCTGCAATGATTGTTGTGCAGACTTGTGGAGGTGCCAGTTTCTGCTGCCCTTGGTGTCTCTGGCGCTGGTGTTCCTCAGTGTCCTTGTTGGGGTCTGTGCCTGCTTGTGCCGCAGCTTTACCCCGACCTTCTGTGTGGGAGTGCTCCATCTTCTTGCAGGTGAAAGAAACACACACATTTATGAGCATAAAAACTATAATATCTTGCATTTTTCTGAACTGACAGTTTAATTTCTTACTATTTTTACTGCATGAGTAATGTTGACAAAAACGAGTGGCACAATCAGTTCTAGGTCAAGCAGAGTGAATGGTTGGTCCTTATCTGCTGCTGAATGTCATTTACACAGCTGGACTTGCAGCTACTGGCATGCAGTTTTGAACTTACAAGTTACAGGTGCATTCAATACAATTAGTGTCTCTTTGATCAGGCAACAAAAAGTGATTAAAAGGTGATTTCCAAATGCCCTTTATACACATGACTCCACATGACTTTGAGACAGTGTTTTAACTGACCATAGTGAGAACCTTTAATGTTTCACTGCATCCAGTTTAAAGTTTTAGAGTTGGAGCTATAAGGT